GAAGTGGGAGAAGGGGATATGGGAACTCTGTACTATTTCTGCAATTTTTCTAGTCTCACACTATTTCAAAATGAAAGGGGTTTTTGATTTTGTTTTCCAAAGACGAAACCAGCCTTGCTCCCCACAGCCTTAGGAAGTCAGAACCTACTGAGAACCGTGCATCACTCGTGGGCGCCGACTTGGGGATTTGTCCTTTCGCACGGAAGTCTTTTCCCCTCAGGAGCATCTGATCTACGTCAGGCTCTGTGCCACGTACTGAGCTAGAAGGAAGAATGAGAGATCATCCTCCCCTGAAGGAGCCTACCAAACAGAGTGACTGGTAGTACCTATGAAGAGGACAGTGTTGCTTTTCCCACTGAAGACTAGAGGCCCAGTGCCTCAGGCCTGTAAGCTTCTCTTGAGCCTAGGAATATATATTTGGGGGGCTAAAAAATAGAGATAAAGATAAGTAGATATACATATTAATCAGTGAGTACTGGTCCACCAACTGTAGCTAATTCACAACTAAAGAAAGTGAGAATGAGCTTTAGAAACTTTTGTAGCAATTTAAGGTTGTTTCCATAGCCAAGTGTGTTTTCTTTAAAAAAAATTTTTTTAACGTTTATTTATTTTTGAGACAGAGAGAGACAGAGCATGAACGGGGGAGGGTCAGAGAGAGAGGGAGACACAGAATCTGAAACAGGCTCCAGGCTCTGAGCAGTCAGCACAGAGCCCGACGCGGGGCTCGAACTCACATACCGCGAGATCGTGACCTGAGCCGAAGTCGGATGCTCAACCAATTGAGCCACCCAGGCGCCCCGCCAAGTGTGTTTTCAATTTCTTTTTACTGACGTATAATTTTATGACTGTTGACTCTAATAATAAAAGATGAGGTACATAAGAATGTAAATATAGGGGCGCCTGGCTGGCTCAGTTGGAAGAGTGTGCGACTCTTGATCTCAGGGTCATGAGCTCCAGTCCCATGTTGGGTATAGAGAGTACTTGAATAAATAAATGAACTTTTAAAAAATGTAAATATAGAGTAGAATTTGAAATTAAAAGCACAATACCAATTATGTTAGCACTCCCAAAAATTAAATTACATATAAATCTAGCAAAGTGTGTACAAGATCTCTATATGAAAACTAGGAAAATTCTGATGAAAGAAATCAAAGAATAAATAAAGGGAAAGATAGTCTATGTTCCTGCGTAGAAACATTTGACATTGTCAAGGTGTCAGCTCTTCTCAACGTGATCTATGGATTCAATGCAGTCAAATTTCCAGCAAGTTATTTTGTGGCTCTCAACAAACTGATTCTAAAGTTTGCATGGAAAGGCAGGAGACCCAGAATAGCCAACTCGATGTCGAAGAAGAACAATGCTGGAGGACCAATAATCAACACAAGGTAGTATTAGCAAAAGAATAGACAAATAGATCAATGGAATAGAATAGAGAGGCCCGAAATAGACCCACATAAATATACTCAACTGATCTCTAGCAAAGGAACAAAGACAATAGAGTGGAGTCTCTTCGTTAAATGGTGCCGGAAATACTGGACATCCACGTGCAAAGAAATGAATGTAGACACAAGCCTTCCACCCATCACCAAAGTTAACTCAAAATGGGCCACAGATCTACATGTAAAACGCAAAACTATAAAATTCCTAGAAGATAACACAAGAGAAAACCTAGATGACCACGGGGGTGGTGATGCCTTTTTCGAGGCGACACCAAAGACAGGATCCATGAGATAAATAATTGATAAGCTGGATTCCATTAAAATCCAAAACTTCTATTCTGTGAATGAGATCGAGCC